CAGTGTGATGATGACCATCAGCCCTAGGCTCCTTTGGGGTAAGGACTGTGCTTTACTCACCTTCAGATTCCCTGAAATAGGGCTGGGTCATTGCCTTGCATGTTACAGAGCACCCACTGGGACTCAAAAACTATGCAAGAAATTTAGTCACACCAAAGGACAACATCCTTGGTCGACCTTAAATTCAACTGAGTTTGTAGGAAAGACCACACAGGGAAGAGGGATCGGTACATGTATCTCCAACACTGCCAGACCCGAGGTGCCTCTTCATTATGTCTCAGGGATAATTTCTCTAGATGCTGCATTGGACCATGCTTCCTCTGACTCTGCAGGTACTCCTTCCTTGCCTCTTCCTAGTGTCCAGTGGTTGCTGACGGACTTTGGCACTCCTTGGCTTGCAGCCGCATCACTCCAATCTCTGCCTTTACCATCACATGGTATTCTCTCGGTGTGTCTTATGTGGTTCGACTATGTCCCCACCCAGATCTCATGTTGAATTGTAGTTCCCATAGTTCCCACGTGTCATGGGAGGGTCTGGGTGGGAGGTAATTGAATCATGGGGGCAGGTTTTTCCAAAATCATGCTGTTCTTGTGATAGTGAATAAGTCTCACAAGATCTGATGGTTTTATAAAGGGCAGTTCCTCTGCACACACTCTCGCCTACTACCATGTAAGACGTGTCTTTGCTCCTCTTTCACCTTCCTTCATGACTGTGAGGCCTCCCCAGCCATGTGGAACTATAAGTCCATTAAACCTCTTTCCTTTATAAGTTACCCAGTCTTGGGTATGTCTTTATTAGCAGTGTGAGAACGGACTAATACAGTGCCCTTGTCTTCATGAGACCATCTTCCTATAAGAATTCCAGTTCATACGGGATTATGGCCCACCCTACTCCAATCTGACCTCATCTTTACTACAAATAATCTGCCAGACTGTATTTCCATATGCAGTCACATTCAGAGGTACCAGAGGTTAAGACTCCAACATCTCTTTTTTGGTGGGGACACAACTCAACTTCTAACAAATGTCTAACTCAGTTCTTGTTCCCTACTATGCCATGGCCCATATTAGATGGCGTTTAAGGGTGCAGTTTATTTAGGTTTCTAACTGTGTGTGATTTCGCCTAATATTAGAAAGAACAACTGAAAAAACCTGACTCCCAGGCCCAGACAAAGCTCCCATCATCCTCACACTCATATCCCAAAAAAGGCCCATGTTGCTGTCTCTAAGTCATCGGGGACACAGCCTGGCAAGCATAATCTTGACTTAAAAACTACCAAATGTGAAGTTTGGTAATTTTTAAATTTTTAAGAGGCTAAAAGCATGTGTGTGGTTTTGATCAGGAAGTTGTGGGTTTTTGCCTAATCAAGAAACTTTCAACATTAAAAATTCAGAATCGGTGAGCACTGAAAAATCTATAGGCTGAGGCACGCAGGCTGACTCTGTCCCCTCTCCTGTACCCCCAGGCCACTCCGCTCCACTGCCACTCTCAATGCCGGAAATATCCCCATCTCGAATCACCTCTCTTGTTCCCAGAACCCAGGCGGGCACTCCGGGTCACCTTTTCTAGCCTTATACCCCAGGCTGGAAGGAAAGGTTCATACCTACAGTGAGAGAAAATACTCGATTAAGGCAACTTCTGTTTGGCTTCCTGTTTATAAAGCTAGTTATGCATCTCAGAAAAGTCTTAAAGACCTGGGCTGTAATCCCAGCTTTCTGATTTAAGAAGCTCTCTGACTCATTTAACCCATAAGGAGGGAAAAACGTCAATGCTGGAGGTGGCAGGGCTGTCTGGGGAGCAGGCGAGGAGAGGCTGTGTGTGGGAATCTGATGATCCCCAGCTAGCCTCACCAAGGCTGATGTCCTTGGCCATGCAGGAAGGGGTCAGAGCCTTCACAACAGGGCTTTGGGATGTCCTTGGGCAAGACACTCAGGCTCTCAGTCTCGGCTCCCTCGTCTATGAAACAGAACACTCACCAGTCCCTTGCAAGGGGGAGAGGTGAGGACTGGGATGATGACTATGAAAGCCCCAGCACGGCTCCAGCACGTAGCAGGTGCTTGATGTGCATTGGAAACCTGGCGATAAAGGAGCAGAGACTTCTTGGGAGGGTTCAGCTTGGTCAAGTCAGGAAATGTCCCATTTCTCTGAAGACAGGTGCTTGGCTAAGCAGGGGCAGCATAACCCTGGGTCCCCAGAGGGACAGATCCCTCCTCCCATTGACAGTGTTTCATTACGTGAACTCTGGACTCAGGTTTGGGGTGGGAAGCAGAATCAAGGGAGGCTGACCAGAAGTCAAAGTGTTGCAGTTGGGCATGGGCTCCCCTGGCAGAGCTGCAGGAGGCCAAGTCCAGGCAGTTGGGAAGAGGAGTCACCGTACACACAGCCCACACTACAGGGCCTCTGTCTACTGAGAGGTAGAAATCATGACCTGACTTAGCCGATGAGGAAACAAATGCTTCTAGAAGTTGGAAAGCCCACCAGCCTGTGGCAATGGAAGGCTCTGCCCCAGCTTTACCAGATGCTCTGCTTCCTGCACCTCCCCACACTGTCTCAGGCCCTGTCTTGGAACCTCCGAGAGAACACAAATGTGCCCAGGGCCCAGACTGGTACCTGGATGTTGCAGAAAGAATGAATGCATGCTGGAGACCAGTGCAAAAGCCAGCACTGGGCCATTGCAGCAGCACCCTGGAGAGGACCAGCTCTGCTGCTCGAGCTCCTCTCTTCTGGGTCCTCCAGAAGAGAACCCCTCCTTCCATCTGGGTCCTCCAGACCTGTCTCTCTCCACCCTGCCCCATCCCCAGTACTCCAGGGCTTAGTTCCCACATGGGACAGACTAGCTCTGGCCACCTGACCCGGAACACGTCGTGCTCTGGGTCTGGGACACCTTTCCCTCTGTCTCCTCTCAGGCTCCTTTTCCAGGCTGCTCTCAGAAGAGAGGAGCTTGGGGGTACCCAAGGAGACCTTCCGAGAACTGGCCGAGGGGAGGCCCCTGGTCAAACTCAGACTCCAGATCCTAAAACTCCTGCAGGCAAAGAAAGTAGGCCTGAGAGGCTGAGCACCCAAGGACCACAGGCCATCAGGAGCGGGACTGCTCCTGGGGAGTCCAGGGAAAGGAGGAGGAGGGGACTGCAGGTGGCATGAGTCAAGAGAGCAAGGCAAGGCAGGAGGCCATGGTGAGGCAAGGCTGGACCACAGGAAGATGCTAAGCATGGGAGTGGGCTTGACTCAGGGTCCCAGGCAGCCTCTGGGTGACCTTCCAGCTTGGTGTGTGGTCTCTTCTGCAGCCTGACTGGCAGGTGGGCAGCCCAGCCACAGTGGAGAGGAGGAAGCCCAAGGGGGTAGAAGTCAGGGCAGGAGGTGGACAGGAAGAACAAACAGGAGGCATTGAAGAGCCACAGCAGCCCAGAAGCAGCCCTACCATGGGGGCTTCGGTTAAGGTTAGGACAGACCCTTCAGTAATGCTGATGAATAAATGAATGAAGAAACACAGGCAAGAGGAGGGAACAACTTCAAGAAATAGCTTTGGCAGGAGGGAAGCGTGGGAACACAGGGCCACTCCAACAGTAAAGCCGGAGACAGCGTCACAGGGAGGTGTCCCACCACCTCCATCCATTCCACACAACTCTTCACAACCCACAGCTCTGCCACAGCTCTTCTCCTCGGTGACGCAACATCTTCGCCTCCTCTGTCCCTGCCACTGTCTGGGGGTCCAGCTTCAGAGTCTGCACAGCCCTTCCTCGGACAGTGCACGTCCCCTGGCCCACAGCCTTTGTGCAGAAGGCTGGTATTACCACCCCCACCTCACCACCCTCAGCAGCCCCCATGACCTGTCTTGGCCCAGGTGCTGGTTATGTCCCTCCTGGTGCACTGCCCCACCCCCTCCCTGACCTGGAGCCTCAGTCCCACCCCTCTGGGCCACCACCAGTCTTCCAAAGGCAAACCCACTGTCTCCACCCCTCAGTAGCCCCTTCAGGGCAAAGTCCAAGCTCCTGGGCAAGACCTGGCTGGCCCTTCACCCTCCAGGTCCTTCAGACCCGTCTCTCTCCACCCTGCCCCATCCCAGTACTCCAGGGCTCAGTTTCCACATAGGACAGACTAGCTTTGACCACCTGGCCCGGAATCATCGTGCTCTGGGTCTGGAACACCTTCCCCTCTGTCTCCACGCCCGCTCAGAGGTCACCTACTCCGGGAAGCCCTCCTTTTCTGACACTGCCTCCATAAGGATGAGCGATCCAGGCTCCGGGCTTCCCTAGTTAATGCTGCCCAGGTCCTCCTTGTCCCTGGATTCAGGGTGCCAGGAGCACCCTGAGAAACACCCAAAGGGCCAGCCACCCTCTCACCAACTCCAGCATCTCCCACACCACACGCCGCTGGCGGTAGCTAATGCCAGTTTCCTAAAAGCTCGTGAACTTGAAATCAATTCTCCACTTGGGTTCCTGCCCCCGCGGCAGGCCAGAGGTCCCTCCCTGAGGCAGTCTGATGGAGGAGTAGGTGTGACTCCTGACCTTGCAAGGAAGAGCCTCTCGTGGATTCTCCACCCCTGCCCTGCCCTCCCCACATGCCCCACCAACACGGGGTCCCCGCGGCTCTCACAGGGGCGTGCACCACCTCTGGGGTCTCCAGCTTTCTTACTTTACTTGAAGTATGTTCACGGCCACAGATTCCGCCACCCTCAGGTGGGTGTCAGGCAGTGGCTGTCCCCTTCATGCGTGAGGAGACGAAGGCTCAGAGCGTGAAGCGCGCTCCAAGGTCAGACAGGGAGTCGCAGCAGCGGCGGGGTCGAGGCTGTGACTCGCGGTGGCCCCCGGTTCCCTCCCACCCCACCCCATGAAGCGGCGTCTGGCCGCCTTGAAATGAATGACTCCGCCACGTCCCGGCGCCGCGCTCCCAGCGCTCCCCTCTGGGACAGCGGCCAAGGTGACTCTGACCGCCTCCGTGTCCCGGGTCGGGCCTGGGCAGGGGTCCCTGGGCCGGGAGAGGGAGGCCGCTCCGCGCTTACCCTCCAAGGCCGCCTTCCAGCTGGTGCTGCCCTCGTAGCCCGACCCGGATCGCCGCAGCAGCCCCTCGGGGCCGCGGGCCTCAGCCTCTGCGGGCGAGCGAGGCCTGGGGGCGGCGGGGGCGGCGGGGGCGGCGGGGGCGGTGGGGGCGGGCCGTGGGCGCGCGGCACCGGCGGCGGCGGCCGGGCCCTCGCAGGGGGCTCCCGGGCCGGCTCCATGCGGGGCGCTCCGCCGCGCCGTGCCCGCGCTCCTGCACCGGGGTGCGGGGCCCAGCCCGATGCGCACTCGGCGCTCCGCGCGCCCTGCGGGCCCCCCAGGCCGGCCTCGGGTGGGCTAGGACCGCGGCGCTTGCAGGCCGGGGCTGAGCCCGGCTCCCCGCGCCGGAGCCTCTGCGCCGGGTGCCGCCGCCGTGCGCTCAGCGCCTGCCCCGCGGAGCCGCAGCCTCCACGCACAGCCGGGCTGGGGAGGAGCGCGAGGCGGCGCGCGGGAGCCGGGAGCCGTGGACCCGCGCGGGGCGGGGCGGGCGCGGAGAGGGAGGAGGCGTGGAGGAGCGGGGACAGCCGGGTCCCGACCCCGCCACCTGAGCTGGAGGCCGGATGCTGCCGAGCTGGGAGCGCAGTCTTGGAGCCGGGAGACCTGGTTCTAACTCAGCTCCACCTTCCCAGCCGCCTGCTCATCATCTGTGAAAATGGGAATAAAGTTCACGCGGACAGTGCAGGGAGTCTCAGGGAAGATGAGCGCCTTTCTTCCAGGCTGCCCCGGAGCCAGAGCAGAGAGTGGTAGGGGCTGTAACTTGACCCTCAAACTCTTGATAAAGGAGAGAAACGTCCGAACCATGAGCACAGAGAGAGTAGAGTCTAAAGGAGCGAGCGAAGCAACGTTGCAGATTCAGTTAACGTTTATTGAGCACCTACTAAGCGCCAGGGACTTTCACATATATTAGCTGACAACGCCCCCAGGTGAGGCCGAGAAGTGGAATTTTGAGGTCAAGGACATTTCCGAAGGCGGCGCCAGGCAGGTATGTGCTTGGCGGGTGTCTGACTCCGGAGTCTTCACTGGCCCCTTGCCTCAGCTGACCTCGCGTCGCCTGAGGCCCTACGCCTCCAGCCCTGATCCTCTTTCCCCTCCACCATTCTCAGTCCCACCTCTGGTTCCTCTCTCAATCTACAGTTCTTCATCCGCAGCTCCTCCTGCTCCCTCCCCCAAATCCAATAGGCCACTGACTCTCGTGAATTCTCCCTTTTAAAATATTTTTATTTTTATTTTTTGAGACAGGGTCTCGCTCTGTAGCCCAGGCTGGAGTGCAGCGTCAAAATCACGGCTCACTGCAGCCTCGGCCTCCCAGGCTCAAGCGATCCTCCCACCTGGGTCTCCCAAAGTTCTAGGATTGCAGGTGTGAGCTGCCGTGCCCGGCCCGTTTTAAACTCTTAGTCTGCCCATTGCACTCCATCCCTCTAGCCACTGGCCAAGTACAAGCCAATGCCTTCTCTTGTCCGACCACAGCAGCAGCCTTCTAAGCGGTCTCCCAGCCTCCACTCTTGCTCCTTCCTTTCCAGCCCCTCCCACTCCGCACCCGCAGCATCTCCCTAAAGTGCAAACTCACCACTCCTTCAGGGGTCCCTTTACCTGTGGGTTAAGGCCATCTTTTCACAAGGCCTGAAGGTCCCTCATGGTCGAAGTCCTGCTCCTACCTAAGGCTTCCTCTCCTCCCACCCCTTCTCTGCCAGCCCCAGACACACCCAACTATTCTGTCTCTTTCCTCTGGGCCTTTGAACACTCTTCCCTCTGCCTGGAACCCATCTCCTCCTTGGTCCTTCTAACCCTCCTTGTAGCCCCCATGCACCCTAGTTTGCCTACCAAATTTCTGCTAATGCTTCTGATTGCACAGTCTCTAGGATACTGCATTCATTCAGATTAGGTTCAGCAGACTACAACAGAAAACCCCAGTAAGAGTTTAATTAGAAAGAAGGGTTTTTTGTTTGTTTTGTTTTGCTTTGTTTTGTTTTGTTTTGTTTTTTACCTGAAAGAAGTCTAGAGGTGATCAGCCCAGGGCTGGATTGAGAGCTCCAAGATCATCAGGGACCCCAGCTCTTTCTCTCTTTCTGCTCACCATCATCCTTAGTATATACCCTACATCTTCAGGATTCCCTCATGGTCTCACTGTGGCCATTGTGGTTCCAGCCATCACACCTGCACACCAGATTACAGAAAGTAGGAAAAACCAAGGGGAAAAGGGCATGCCTCTTGTTGAATCAGACTCCTTTAAAGAGTTTTTCTGGAACCCCCAATGATTTCCACTTACCTTCCACTGGCCACTTCTATCCCAAGTAAGTCTGTGGAGTATAGGGGCAATTAGCTAAAGCCATTGCCACGCTCAATAATGCAGAGATTTTGACAGGAAGAAGGGGAGAATGGAAAATGTGCATGACCAGCAATCCCTGCCTCCTAAGCCTCCTGTGATCCCAGACTGTGGCACCTGTCCTTTGGGCCTTTGGAACACTCTCCACCTCTCTTCCCATAGCACTTGACACATCCTACTGTCATTGCTTGATCCCCAACCAGATGGCCAGCTGTGGCATGAGGGCAGAGGCACTGCTATATCCCCCGTTCCTAGGGCAGTGCCCCATTGGAACACCAGGCCCAAAGCTTCAGACTTCACATAGGCACAAGGAAGCATCAAAGATGTTTGAGCAAAGAAAGGTCATGGTCACACCATGCTTTAGGAAAATTAACTTTGGTACCAGGTACAAAGCAGTTTGGGAGCAGATCAGCAAAGAAACTCTTGAAATAAACCATTGACATAAAAAGGAGTAACAAAGGCGTGATACCAATGCATTGGCAGTGGAGCTGACCTTAGGAACTTCCCAGTCAATCACAATATCCAGGACCTATCAGAAGCAGGATCTAAGTCTCCCAGAGTCCCTGCGTGCCCTTGTCAACTTCCCTGCTCCCCTCCTGATGCTTTCTGGGATCACTCCCCAAATAAATTACTTGCACTTAAATCCTTGTGTCAGGGTCTGTTTTGGGGGGAACCCAAAAGATAATGACCCTTAGGGCTGTGAAAGGGTCTGCTTCCTCAAGAAAAAGGTGCTCATAAAAATAGACACCACAATTGAGATAAAACCCATCAAGACCCCCTGTCCTAGGCCGGGGTCGGTGGCTCACGCCTGTAATCCCAGCACTTTGGGAGGCTGAGACGGGTGGATGACGAGGTCAGGAGATGGAGACCATCCTGGCTAACATGGTGAAACCCCGTCTCTACTAAAAATACAAAAAATTAGCCGGACATGGTGGCGGGCACCTATAGTCCCAGCTACTCGGGAGGCTGAGGCAGGAGAATGGTGTGAACCCAGGAGGCAGAGCTTGCAGTGAGTGGAGATCGTGCCACTGCACTCCAGCCTGGGCGATAGAGCAAGACTCTGTCAGAAAAAAAAAAAAAAAAACCTGCCCTCTATCCCTGAGCGACTGTAGAGTTTCTAAGACGGCCCTCCTTGAGGAGCTTGGGTGACAGGCTGCACCAGCTGAACTCCCAGGAGCAAGCAGGGGATGTACTGCTTACCTCTCGGGACCCAGTTTTGTCCCACGAGGGTGTAGCAAGTAGTAACCCGTCTGCTTTCAAACTCCCTGAGATTCATAGACTCTTACAGTGGACACCTACAATTTCCCAGGGAACTCCAGCATGTGAACTTCCACATCACATGCTGTCAAGGAGGCCCAACAGGAAACTTGATCAGACTTACAGTGAGTTTAAGTAGAGGTCTGGGAAGATTTCAAATGCAGCCTGGCCAGCACCAGTCTTCCCTTGGTCTTCTGGGCAGGGTTTTTGTTTGTTTGTTTGTTTGTTTGTTTGTTTACTACTGTCTAACAAAGTGTATGTCCCCATCTCTGAATGGCTCTGTCCTGCCGTCCCCTGTGTCTCAGGATATTGACTCCATCTCCTTTTCTTAGAGTTATGGAATAGGTGTGACTCCTGGCCCACAAATTCAGAGGTTGAAAAAAATAATGACATGTTCTTTCCTTCTTTTAAGTCAACTGAATTGTAACTTCAGGTCACCATCCCATTATGGGGGTAGAAAATTCCACCAGGCTGGGTGCAATGGCTCATGCCTGTAATCCCAGCACTTCGGGAGGCTGAGGCAGGTGGATCACTTGAGCCCAGGAGTTCAATACCAGCCTGGCCAGCATGGTGAAATCCCATCTCTACTGAAAGACAAAAATTAACTGGGTGTAGTGGCGCACGCCAGTAGTCCCAGCTACTCAGGAGTCTGAGGCAGAAGAATTGCTTGAACCTGGGAGGCAGAGGTTGCAGTGAGCGGAGATCTTGCCACTGCACTCCAGCCTGGGCAACAGAGTGGATGAGACTCCGTGTCAAAAAAAGAAAAAAAAGAAAAGAAAATTCCGTCAAAGATTTCTTTAAAATTTATTGAACTAAAATCTAAATAACATAAAATTCACTATTTTAACCATTTTATAGCCCACAATTCAGACTTTTAGTATATTCACAACCCTCACCACTGTCTGATTCCAGAACATGCTCACACTCCATAAGGAAATCCTGCACCCACCAATCAGCCCCTCTCCATTTCACCTCACCCCCGGCCCCTGGCAACCACTAATCTACTTTCTTTCCTTTTTCTGTATTACTATTTTTCATTTACTACTTATAAGTAACCACTAACCTACTTTCTGTCTCTATGAATTTGCCTATATTGGACATCTTATATAAATGGAATTGTACAATTCATGGTCTCCTGAGACTGGCTTCTGTCACTGAGCATAATGTACAATTCATGGTCTCCTGAGACTGGCTTCTGTCACTGAGCATAATGTTTTCAAGGGTCACATGTCATAGCATGGGTCAGTTCTTTATTCCTTTTCTTCTCAGCCAGTTTTGAGGACTCCTCATTCTTTTTTTTTTTTTTTGACAGAGTCTCACTCTGTTGCCCAGGCTGGAGTGCAATGGTACAATCTCGGCTCGCCATGACCTCCGCCTGCCAGGTTCAAGTGATTCTCCTGCCTCAGCCTCCCAAGTAGCTGAGATTACAGACGCCCACTACCAGGCCCAGCTAATTTTTGTATGTTTAGTAGAAACGGGGTTTTGCCATATTGACCAGGCTGGTCTCGAACTCCTGACCTCAAGCGATCCGTCTGCCTCAGCCTTCCAAAGTGCTGGGATTATAGGCGTGAGCCACTACACCTGGCAGAGGGCTCCTCATTC